CTAGAGGGATCCTAAGGAGTCTCTGAACTAAATCCATGAGAGCACAAAAATGTTATTCAGTCAAAAGTACAAAAGGTTTCTTAGTGATGATCTGAATGCAGCCAGAAGTTTGGCCTTGGAGGGTTAAAGCACAGTGTTATTTCAGGTACTGAACAGTAAAGATCTGTGTGTGGCTCTAAAATCAAGGAAAAAAGAAAATAGAGAGAATAAGATCACAGAATGAAAGGGCTCTGCTTTAATAATGACTTTGGTCTGCTACATATCCCTCAGTAATTTACATAAATGGCTTTTACACTTTATCATCTGATCATGACTTGGGGTCTTTGGTATCTTGGTTGATACCAACAACTGATCACTGAACTTTAGCATAATTTTGGTGTTGCTGCTCTGTTCTCATCCTGACCCCACCTTAGCATTAAAGGAAGCAATGGAGCTCCACTGAAAGTCATGACAGAATTTATTTTCTGGAGAAATTATAACATTTTACTGCCCAAGCTTTTTATGACACCTAGGTTATATTGCTTCGGTGCCTGTTTTTTATAGCTTTCTCCTCTAGCAAGAACTTGCAGTGGAAATTTGTAAAAAGTGTTGCTAAAGAATCACAAAGAGAGGAGTCTGGAAGTGTAAAATCCTGACTCTGACTTACTTTAATTATCATATCTCATCAGGGGAGCGTGCATTGTGTACATGTAATAAATTCTAGCCTCTCTTGCAAGTCAACATTTGGTGAAGCCAAAATTCATCAGTTCTCTGATATTTAGTGTTTTATAAGCTACTCATTGGGTCTACTGTCAGGAAGGCCATCTTTTAACTCTTACAAGTTTGGTTTTAATTACTGTACCACTGAAAAATAAAAGTGCCACATAAAAATTCACAAGTATATGTATGCAGTCATTCCAAAATAAGAAGGTCAAAATACTTGACCAAAATGATTCATGTAAAATTGTTTTATTACCTTTTTCTTACCAGTTTCTCCGACACAAAGGCTGTTGAACGTTACTGGACAGCCTGGCCTCGGTCACTTTTTGAAAAAACTGCCAGAAGCAACTTTCATGTCATTGTTCATTAACACTGATCGCATTAGCAAGGATTTATTGGCAACTGCTGGTGTAATAAAATACATTTTAAATGCTTTGGGTGTAGAGTCTGCTGTGCCTAACCATGCTGGCATTGCTCACTTTTCAAAAGTGTTGCATGATTTACCACTTAGCCCAGGCACTCTTGTTTGATTAAATCCCTCTTTCCTTGCTGCTGGGAAGCAGAATTGGCAGCAACAAAGCATTTTTAATATTCTATGTAGCACACCTCTAGAGGTCTTTGAATACATAAGTTCAGATTTTGGTTTAAAAGCTCTCTAAATTTGATTTTACTTGGCTGCAAATAGGCAACATGAAAATGAGCAAGTAAAATATTATAGCTGATGCAGAAAAAAATTTAAATTTCCACCTACTAAAGCGCTTCAGTCTAAGGTGAAGCGCAATTGTGAGTCACTGGAGCATTCCTACCTTGTTTCTGTAGAGCTGCCCGATTAATGAGTCTGTCACAGGTAACCCTGGGGCTATGGGATACAGCAGCTGGGAAGTGACATAAAGTCACTTTAAATAGAGCTCTGTCCACCTGTCACATAGTTAACATTTTTGGACAGTGCAAACAGTTCATGATGTGAAGGACAACCAGGTTAATAGGCCTAGGAACAAGCCATTCAATTGCTTTCAGAAGGAATCAAATCTCAGTAACATCTGATTATTAACAATTAGCAGTTCCAGTGCTTCTATTGGTTTGTCTGGGCCTTGATGGTGTCACCAGTAAATGGAAGCACTTTGGACCAGATTGTTTAAGTGCTCACTGGACTGCATTCACTCCAACACTTTCATAAGGATAGCAGTGCAAGCAATGAGATTTTGGTATTTTCCTAGACTAGGAAGTGAAAAAGAAAAGTTTTGGTCATTAAAATGACAGATTTCCCAAGCAGGCAGTTAGAACAATGAAAAGCAATGCACATTTCATAACAACACATATGCAAACAAAACACTTTGTCTGAAAAATTGGTGACTACTGAAACCAATGTGTGGACATTCTTTCCAAATTGGAGTGTGTGCTGCAAGGAGAGCAGCACCATCGACCTTCAGTAACTTTGAGGTGGAGCAAGGTTGTTAGCAGGAACACACCAGTAAAATGCTGTGAGGAGCTGAAGTCTTATCTCACATTTCCCCACCTTATATTATCTCCAGGATTGCGGCTAGTACAATCAGACCTAGGCTACTGACTCTATTTTTTCCAGATTAACACTTTCCTGAGAACTTAGAGTGAATCACAGAATGGTTTGGGTTGGAAGGGACCTTAAAGGTCATCTTGTTCCACACCCCTGCCATGGGCAGGGACACCTTCCACCATCCCAGGCTGCTCCAAGTCCTGTCCAACCTGGCCTTGGGCACTGCCGGGGATCCAGGGACAGCAGAGCTTCTCTGGGCACCCTGTGCCAGGCCCTCACCACCCTCTCAGGGAAAAATTTATTCCTCAAACTTCAGAAGTTTCTGGAAAATGTGGTAATTTTATTTTTCTGCTACAATTTCTTCCTTTCCTTATGATGCTTCCTGGCTAGTTTTCCTATGGTTTCTGTAAGGAAGCACTTGATGAGGACTTCTCTGTCTTATTTAATGAAATTGAGAATTTGGGGTTTGCTCCGAAGAATAAATGAATATTTTAAACTAACCAGAGCAGAACTTCAGTAGTTACACACAGCAGAATTCAGAGACAATTTGCCCAGATATCAGCTGGAAAACAAATCATGATCAACCTTCTTCAAGCATTTAAAATATTGGAATTTTCTAACTGTTTTGCTTTTGAAACAAGGAAGATGCAATAATTCAACGACTGTGCTCTTGCCTGTGTCAGTCTGAGCAGATTGTTTAGGCCCAGGCAGTGGTGTGACCCTTTGCAATGACAATGCAGAAGCAGTGTCAGACAGTTTCTTTGCCACGGCCTCTGACACAGCTCTAGCACACCTGGCTGCAGAGTTCTCCCTTCCCCACTCTGACTTTGCTGTGGTGATGAAATATCACCAGGATTTAGCCAGCTGGATCCCATAAGATTCCTTTGCTGCCAACTCCGCCAGCACTTTGACAAGCTGGGATAGGAAAAATGGCCATGTCTTGGGTGGATGTAATTTCTTCTTCAAATGTTATTATGGCTCATTTCCTTCTGCTGTAACCTTGTGATGTGGTCACAGGTGAAGTGACAACAAGGCAAAATTGGAGGACTGCAGGAGGAAGGGGCTTTTAAATCTTTTCAGATAATCACAATTTCACAGGGCTCAGCCTGTAAGACAGATTGGGTGAGGAAGCAGAAGACTGTGGCTGCTTCATAAAAGAGAAAAGAAAATATTTATGATATCTTCTCTTTCTTTCTCTCTTCTCTATTCTCAGCATTATGGGGCTTACTCTGGATTTTTGACACCCTCACAATTTGGGATGTTCACATAAGGAATTTCTATTCACTGTAGCAGAAACCTTCCAGACTCTGCACTCAGGAAGTTTTCCATGGCTCCAAGGTTACAGCAACCTTTGCAGGCTGATTTCTGAGGTGTGTTCTGATCCAGGGTGCACTGCAGAAGTACCATCACAAACCAGTTTAAGGGAATGCTGGTAATGTGATTAAGGGACAGTAAGTGGGTGGCTGCTACATTGGTTTTTCTTCAACCATTTCAATTTCAAGGAACACATGAAAGAGAATGCTAATTTTGTTGTTGCTGTAGTTTACTTTATAACTCTCTGTACTACATAAACTCAAAGGAATGAAAATGTGCTGGATACTTTTCTCATGCTCAACTCTATCAAATCCCAGAGGATGTTTAAAAAAAGACTTCAAAAATTGTAGGGGGGTATCTGTTGTTTCTCAGCTATTTCTTCATCTCATATGCTCAGAGACATAACCTGATGTGAATTTGTGATGTATTTCCATTGGGGAACTCACTCATCAGGATTTATTGCTGCAGCTCCGTTGCTACCTGTGCTCCTCAGGAAGACTGTAATTTTTTTTCATTGCAAATGGATTGCCTGGGATAAATACCTGACTCTCAGTCTGTAGGGAGGGAAGGTCAATAACAACCTTCATAGAATCTCTCCATAAAAGGTGACAATAAATAACAGTTTAACCTCTAATCTATATTAACAGACTACCTTTATTTATTGTTTGACTTGTGCTGAGACAGAGACAGGTAATCCAAAAGGAGCAGTCACAATAACAGGTAATGACCTTCTTTTACAAGAATGAGCAAAACCCATTTCACTTCAGCATCATGCACGGGGCTATTTTGCAAAGAAACACTGTGTGTTAGTTGTTGAAACTTTTTCATGCATTCCCCGAAACAAACTACACTATTCTGAATATTTTCTCCTCTGTGCAGTAAATAAAGTCTTTGGTGTTGACAATGCTAATATTATATTTTAAAATATATTTGCATTTGTGTTTTTTGTCATTTTTTATTGCATTTTATAAATCCCGGAGCAAAGACCCACTAAGCTCACTGAGAAAGCCTCGTTTCTTGGGATAGCATCATGCAGTGACACAGGTGACCAGGTGGGATTTCACTGGGGGCTGCTGGCTGGCTCTGTGGGGACCTTATTTCAACCAGAATCCTGGGTAGGAGTTTGGAGTACAAGTCAGGAAAGTTAATTTTAAGTGGCTTTTAAAATGGAATGATTTCATATGAATGATTTTCAAGGGTAAATATTCATAATGCAAAATAATCTTCATATATTTTAGTCCAATTCGTGCATTAAACTATTAGATTATTGTGGGAAAGTTGGGAAGGCGGAGCAAGAAAATAATTTTATCAGTACTTGAAATTCTGGCGTATAACAAAACCACTGTGGCATTTGGGGGTAGAATAAGGAATTACTAGTAAACATTGTTTTTAAGTTATGCATATATTGTGTTCTATCGAATAGATATTTTCTAATCTATGAAAAAATACATATAATTAAGTTGTTTTTACTTACATTTATGTTTCAGTAATGCACGAGACAAATAGTTGGAAAATGCTCTTCAACCGTAAATCACGTACCTGGAAATAAGAAAGTAATTTTTAGTTAAAGGAAAATATCTGCTTGCTATTTAATTTGTTCTTAAATTACATCCCCTTGGTTTAAGAACACCTTAAAAGATCATTCAATTCATTTTTTAGTCTCTTTTTTCACTAAGGGAAAGAATCGATTTCTAGATGATTTTTAAAGATTTTTTTTCTTCCTCTTCCTACTTTATGAAGCTGTTTGTAACATCAAATGGCAAAAATCTCTCACATGAAGGAACTGAGGTGGCAGGTGAAGGATTATTAGAGTTGTAATTATGTGAGAGGGTTTTTTGAAAGCACTGAGTATAACTGAATGTAAATTCTGGGACAGTTTGCCTCATTTAATGTAGGAAATATGAAAAGGAAGCCACAACAGTTCTGAGTACGGAAGATTTTAATTTATTTTTCAATTACTGAAGGAGTTTGATACCAGTTCTATAAATGTACAGAGCATGGGTTTTTTTGACTTTTTCTGATTAATGAGAAATTGCAACAGACTGTGCAGCACTGTGGGAAAGGTCAGTGGCAATTTTTGAAAAGAAGGCCTTGGAAACACATTGGCCTTCCAAAACAGAGTCATCCAAAACTGCCAGTTTTATTTTCCTCCATTTTTGGCTGTGCAATTCAGCTTTCTGATTCTCCTGTGTTCATTATGTGCAGCATTGTGTGGATCCATTCTAATAAATTCCATTACTTGGAACAATGAGGTTGAGCATGATTCAAATCCTGAATTAAATGCAAATCTAGCGGCAGAAAAATGGATTTAGTGGTATGATAGGATTTGCAATATAAATATATTGCATTTAATATAAAATTTAATTAAATAAATGAATATTTTAAGGACTGCCATTCAAGCTAGCATTGTATCTGTGACTAATTAAATGTGCATTGTAAGAACAGTGTGGAGATCACATGCTGGTGACTTTGGAAGCAACACACAATATATATTTTTGCTCAGTTTTTGGACAAATGGTCAACCTCTGCAGAAGAGAGATGTCCTTTTTTTTCAGAGTCAGCAATGCTGGTTTTGATGCCACAAATATTCAACTTTGTGATTGAAATTGTGAAGTCTTTCTCCAGAACAGATTTACCACAGCACTATTGCATTATTTCTTTGAACTTCAAAACAGAAGAAGAACAGATTTCAAATCATATCAGCAGCCAGATAAGTACAATCTTAATTGCAATATTGATGTGGAACAATTGTAAAGCTTTATGGCTGTATAGTCCTTTGTGCTAACGTGGATCAGACTAACACACAAAGGAGTTGGGCTACAAACCCAGGGCAATATTCCTACATTTCTGCTTGTTAATGATTCTTAGTTGCAGGGGGAAAAGGTGATGTTGCTATTTTCCTATTATTTTAATGGGGAAAGGGATTTTTGTTTTGTTTGGTTGTTTGTGGTTTTTTTGTTTGTTTTGTTTGCTTTTTGTGAGAAATACTACTTTGTACATAGGGGAATTCAAATAATTAATTGATGTTTAGAAACATGGAAGACCATTGTGATTTCTTTTCATTGCAAGTAAATAAATCCCATAGATACAGAAAATGTACCCTTGAGGAAACAAGTGTCCCATTTTCATTATGCCAAACAACTTTCTTGACAACTTGACAACATTTGCTGAACTAGATTTTGGCAATAGAATGCTTTAAAAGGCATTTTATAAGGCTATACAATTCAAACTATTTACTTTTCTTAAGTGAAGTATTTGTAGCAACTAGGAAGTAAAGGAACAGGAAGGAAATGTTTCTTCTGTGTGAATCCCTTTGTTTCACTGCTATCCAAAGGAAATAAGTGCAGGCAGATTTGAGTTGCTGGGATTGCACAGAAGCAGCACCTGCCTCCATTTGCCACAGCCCTAGGAGAATTTGAGACAAAAATATAATTGTTCAACATTTCCAGAATCCATAACAACAGGTCATGACTAAATGCTGCTCTCCTCTAATTTAAACTCAAGGAGAGCCGTCCACATACTTGGATTTAAGTGCAAATCCAAACCTTTGAATTTAGGTTCTTTTTCTTCTAAGTAATGTATTTTCTTTAATGCTTCTTCTCAATTAGAAATAAATGCTGAAATCAAAACTGACTCACAGAGTCCTATGGAAGGCAAGAATCTCCTCAAAACACTTTAAATTAATTTGAAAATTTCCTAAATATCAGTGACATTTCCAAAAGTGCTGAAGAGCTCTGCTGTGGGATACAAAGGTAACCTCTCTTGCTTTTAGCTCATCTGTCTTTCAAAGATATTTATCTTTGAAATACTTTGGATAAATTTAGATTAAAAAACTTTGGATAAATTTGCAGCCCCAAAGATAGATAAAATACTGATAACTGTCAAGGATTAAGTCATGCAAAACTAGACATGATTTTCTTTGAAGGTCATAAAAATTTTAATGTTACAGATAAATAATATGACCAATTTCTTTATTTGAAATTAATTATAATATTTAACATATTCAGCATACACCACTAGAAAAGGTCATCTGCTCTTCGGGTAGATGGGGCTCTTTTGTAACCCAAGAAATGCTAATAATTCTGATCCTAAAAAGAAATAGTTTCAAAAATGACACAATTGAAATTTGAAAATAAATGTGTTCAGGTTTCCACTTATATGCTGCAGTACTTTCTAATCACACAGCAGTGTCACTTCTGCACACAACAAGCCATCAGCTATTTTTATTTTGACCTGAGCCTTCATACAAAGTATTAATTTACTTTGCAGCATAATGGAACCAGTTCTGCTGTCACCACAGAGAGCTGCTGTGCACTGCATCAGAAAGACAGATGACAGAAATTCCAGCAGCAGCAGAATTTAAATGTCTTGCCTGTAATTTTGTTCAGTAGCATCTTTGTACATCTGGCATGTGAAATATGTCTTTAGCTTTTGAGACAACAAATGACATTTGGTTTTGCTAAGAAGGCTTAGCAAGGGAAAGGCACATTCAAAATGTCACTTGTGTTACCACAGAGGTGTCCTCTGAAAATGAGCCTAAATATCTATGGAATATTTTAATACTTAGAAATATTTCCAAAAATACCATTAAACAATTCAAGTTTTTCCTTTCTGGAAATGCCAGCAAGTGCTCTGACCTAATTTTACACATTTATTTCTCCATTATTTTTTTATCCCAGCCCTCCCAGTTCAGTGGACTTGGAAAATGCCAAAACATGAACTGATCTCTGAGAAGACAATGAAGAGCACAGCAAAACCTGAGCCTATCCCATTTCATAGAGTATTAAGTCAAGTGCATTTTGAATTTCTGAAAGCTAAACATCCTGTGGCATAGGAGAACCTATTTAAATATCAAAGACCAGTTTTGCTGAATTAAAAACATAAACATAGCTGTTTGGAAAGACTAAAAGGTACAATTTTTTCATATATCAATGTGATAATAAGATTTCCTTAAAAACAGATGAACTTGAAATGTCCTTATCATTAGCATGCTGGTATTTTCCAGTACTTGTATGTGCTGGCAACCCTTTTGTCCTTACAGGAGAGAACACTTGTACTTATTTACACAAAATAAAGAGAGCTTCACTTTGTAAGTTTAATATTTTGGGCAAGCAGTAATATACCAGTCTGTCAGCCAGTCTTAGCAGGAAACAGTCCTAGTGCTGATCACAATGAGATGACTCGTGGTCTCAGCTCATTTTGAGAAGTTTAGTAAACATGTTATCTCTAGCACAGGGCTGATGTAATGTTTATAAGTTCAGTCTGTCTTGTTTTGCCATTGCTGGTGATACTCTTGTTACCAAAACAGCCTAAAAGTCTTTTCTTCATCATAACCTTCTGAAGGTCACACAAAGATGATGTTTCATCATGATTAATATTTGGAACATATTTTTAAAGAGAAATCCCCCATGCTGTTAAAACGCCCTCCCTGAATTTAAAATTTTAGTTCTTACTTATAATAAAGCTTGAACAACTTGATACTGCAGAAAGCTTTTAACTTATTATCTGATCTGTAAGTAAAATCCATTTTGTCTAAATAATGAGTATGTCAAGTTGTATGGTGGGTTAACAATGTGACTGCAAATGTTTACTTAACGTTATGGTTAGATGAGCATCCATATTTGTTAACATAAGGATCAGTACATGTCCTTCAGGACACTTGAGCTGAGGCTGACAAACACAGAGGAAAAACTTTATGTACAAATTAGAAGGAAAGAGAAAAAAAACTCTGCAGCCTGAATAACTTCTTTTGTCAAGGTTTGTTAATACTCTTTTTACACTCAACACACTTTCCATTTCAAACTATCTTTACAGTGCTTAAGTTGTGACTATGATCCTGTCACACACATTAATTTCTAGGCTTGCAGCCTCTCGGTTTAACTGAACTCAGTGTAATCCTGACACTCCAGGCTGCAGAGATTCCATCCCCTCTGTGCTGACAAGGGGGTCTCTGCTCATGTGTCACCATCTGGGACCTGACTGGAAATGCTGCAATGGAAAATCAACCCAGCTCCTCAGTCCTTAGCTGGGCTATATCGGGGGAATAATTTGTAGCAATGTTCCTTTAATCCTCCTTCACCTCAAGTAAGAAGTTATAACTGGATGTGCACATCAGCAACATCAGATGGACAGGGAAGTACAGTTTTTAGTAATTTCAGAATAAAGCAACATTTTCAAATTTCTCAGCATTACACATGTGTAGAATATTTATTCTATGGAAGCTCACTACTGCTCTCATGCCTCAGTGCAGCAGGGAAGTCATAGGGCAAGTTTAGTCTTCAAGATCTCAGTAACTACTTTAATTACCTCTATAGACAGAAAGATCTTTCCAAGACAGACTTTCTTGGATTGTGCAAATGTCTTTGGTTTTTTCCTACCTTTTGCCTGTGATTAAGGTCCTCAGGAACTTCCCCTAGGAAGGTGCCCATGAGAACTTAAGGGAGAGCATCCAGCACCTGTTATTTGCTACGCACACTCTTTTCTCATTTTTGCCTCAGCTACTTCAAAAATTGGGGTTCCAGGTCTATGTCTAAACCAACAGAACTTAGCTCTGTGTCTGATATCTGAAAGGGTCAGAGTTGTGCCACTTCAGAAGCACTGAATATGCAGTAAGAGAACAAGAACAAGTAAACAAAATGCTCCATTGCCAAGAAAAACAAACTGAGATGACAAATTGTATAACTTACTATTGCTAATTAGGCTTATCTAAGGATTATTGTACCAGCAAAAAAATCTTATCTTAAACAAAGCCATAGAAACTGTTGCATGCGAAGTTTCAGTAATGCAATACTGGCTGCTTTCAAGCCTACAATGTCTACAGACATTTCTACCAATTAGATCACCCAAATATGTGACAAGCCCAGATAATCTGCTCAAGTCACATCACATTTTACATCTTTGCAGAGCTAGCACTGAAAACTAGAATTTTGCTTTTACAAAATCCCTATATAACATTTCTGCAAAAATATATTTGGCTCTGTTAAAATGAAATCTCTTTCTGTTTACTCTTATCATATTCTATGACAGAAACAACTGGTTACTAGTTAATAATGCAACAGTACTGCATATTATTTGATTCCTATTCTGATAGGTTTCTCTAGTTTAGGTATAAAACTGCAAGCACAGAAAGAGATTTTAGATCCTCACTCTGTCGTCCAAGTGTGAATATACAAGTTTTTGATGAAATTGTACTTTAGTGAGAACTTTTTTGGATAATAACATTTTGCCGGCCATCTTGTTCAGTGTTAGCTCAGGAAAAGGAGTGTCCTGATATTGTCCATGTGCCCACTCTGAACCAGCAGTCAGTGTTGTTACTGAAGGTCATTTCCTGCTTCTTCACAGTTTGGTACCAACCCAGACCAACCTTGTTTAGCCTGAAATCAGACAGTGCTGGAGTTCAGGGTCATATGGCTTCAAACAAAATGAATGGCCCAAGTCATTAAGCTGAATGTTTTGTGTAATTGCAGTTTAAAAAGAATGATAATAAGTAAAACAGCTCAGTTTGCAGATCTGAGTTCACAGCTGCTGCTTTTGTTAACTGATGCATTGTCCTGCTGCACACAAAAATTTGGGCTTTCCTGTCTTAAGACTGCAACACACTGGTTTGGGGAAATAAGAACTGGGGAGGTTAGAATAGAAGAGCTGAAATGTAGCACACAAATAAACAGATACTCTACAGCTCCTCCTAAATCTGTGCTTAGGCTCATGTATATGAGCAATATCTGCTGATATCCTGGTGAAACATGCCTGACATGTTTCACCAGGATATCAGCAGATATTGAAATTCAGTGTGCATGAGCAATGTTCCCATTTCATGTTAATTTGTCAAGAAAGGAAGACCAAGAACTTTGTATGAATTTCTGAAAACCAATAAAGCTCGTATGAAAAGTGGATGTCAACAGCACCTCTACAAGAGCTTTTACATGTGAGGTGTCTGAACAAGGTTTCCCTTGGTGTCCACAGAAAATCTGAAAAGCACTGCTCTACACTGTCCCACAGATTATAGAAAAATTCCAGCAAGAGCACACTCGGCTTACAAAGTCACACATCAACATGTCTGTGTATACATTGCCTCAAAGAAATCCCTGGAGAACTGAGCTGCCCCTGAGATATAAAATAAAGAGCAGATATTTCTAAAAATGCCTGTTTGTTACCAGCTGTCATCACGTCCCTAGGTCTGAGAGTCCCCACAGAAATTTTGCTGATTTCTTCATGGAAAGGGTGTTGAGCCCTGGCACAGGCTGCTCCAGGCAGTGCTGGAGTCCCTTTTTTAGAGGGATGTAACAGACACATGGATGTGGCATTTGGGAACATGATTTAGGGGTGGCCTTGGCAGTGCTGGGTTAATTGCTGGACTCAGTGATCTTGGAGGACTTTTCCAACATAAAGTATTCTATGACTCTTTTTATCTCTTACTCCTCTCTCTAGTAAACAGACCTTTAAAGAGGGAATAACTGAGAGCAACATCACAGGAGAGATGGGCAGCAGCTGATCACAATTCTCTATTCAGTATTTATTTTACTACAATTATGCACCAATATCCTAAGGTACAAGGACATAGGTCAATATTTTCAATTTGCAGGTGTCTAAGAAGTTTGAAACAACACAAGTGAAAAGGTCTTTCCAATCTAGTGAGCAAAAGCTGAAAGGCAGGAGAGCTGCTGAAGAGTCACATGGCCTTGAGGAGCAAGGCAAAGCTATTCTGCATTAGGGAAAGGAAAGAGGTTGAACTCAGTTAAGTTCTTGCCACAAAAAAAAAAAGTTTGTGAAAAATAACATTGTCAGTAAACAGGATTAATTTTCAAGAAGAAGCTAATAATTTTTGTTCCAGCAGGCCTGCTTTTAAAACTATTTTAAAATAAATTATTCTATACTTGAAATCAAACTCAGTGAAGCTCTTGAAGTCTTTTGG